TGGAATGTCAATTAAAATGGTTTTTTATCTAGCAACTACTCCTAAATGCGAATTTTAAATATAAGGATAGTAACTACTCCTAAATGTAAATATTAAATTCTAAAGATAACCCTTTCTGGATGAATTGGTTTAAAGAATTTTAAGATTTTCAAAACAACTATTCTTATATAGTGAGTTGGATACTGTAAAGGAATGAGATACATTAAATATTGTATATGCCAAATAGGAGCAATTTTAATTCTCTACCCTAATTCAGTGTTATAGAAAATCATTGGCTAATCTGTTTACTGAATCCATGGCTAGGCTGGGAGGATACCGGCTCTCACTTCGGAGCTCCCACATTCCCCTAGCCTGAGGGCTAACATCTCTGCTTCAGTTTCCAAACCCTAGGACCAAATTGAAAATTTTAGTCTGTCAGCCTAAAATCTCCAATTATACGCCCATCAAAGTATATTTCTTTATTTATTTGCACTCAACTCCCATGAATGTCACCATGCATAGAATTTGAATGTGGTTCCACTTTGTTGAGAATTACACCCCCTTTCGGATTAATGAAATTACAATAAATTTTAACACTACAACAGGCCCTTGTTATAATGTAAATGAAGTACAAGTAAAAACAATCACATTTATAATTAAATCTTCTTCTAACAAGCATCCCAAAATCCTAAACATGAATTCTGCTCATTTAAAAAGAAAAGTAAAGTGAAAATAATGACATAATCTTCTTATGCCACTATTTCCAAAGAAGAAGAAAGTGTAAGAGAAGCCCATCACAAAGCACGAAGAAAACACAATGGAAACTTCATTTAACCAAAGCAAATTCACTAGATAATTGTTTACAAAAATCAAAAGATAATGAAGAACAAAATACTTAATTTTTTCCTTTTAAAAGAAAGACGAATATCTCTCCCACAAAGTCTCCCGCCGATCCATGCAATGCTAGAACATCTCCTTACAAATTCTCTCAAAATCTCCTCTCCAATCTCTCCAAAAGGGTAGAAATCTACATTTCTACTCCTATTCTAAAAACCCTAAACTTTCTTCACACTTTTCCTAACATTCCTCTCACAAAAAACCCTTTTTCTAACCTAAATTTGTTGTTTTAAAGTGTAGGGACAAAGTTTGAAGAGTTTCCACAAGAATCCTTTCAAAAAGCGTCCAAATACGTTGAATTTGGGCCCATAACCACCAATAGTCGGTCCAGAATCTTCGAGGGCGCCGTCGGCGAGCTTTTCTATCATTTTTCAGTCTTATCAGGAAAATCTCACCGTCGGTGAGCTCGAGGGCGCCGTTTGCGAGATTTCTGCGCAGCTCCACCGTTTCGCTCCGTTTTAGCTCTGTTTCGCCCCATTTCAGTTGCGTTGTGTTCATAACAGATAGCCCTACATAATAAACATGAAAACAACATTCCTTTAAAGTGTAATCTCATTCAAAAATATGCAAGAAGTGTAAAAGAGATTAAATATCGAATGACTTATCAAATGGTGATAGGACAAAATTATATTTCTTGCTCGTTTTTGCTCCAAATTGCACCGTTTTTATTTCTTTTTCTCCAAAAACCCATTTCTTGTACCTGAAACTAAAAACATGCAAAATATCTTCCTTTAAAGTGCAATATCATTAAAATTAAGCATAAAATGTATATGGTAAATCAAACATTTTTAGGCATGTCACATTACTTGATAACGATATGTATACTTGGTAGTATCCCATATTTAAATATTATAATTATATTCTTATTTGTTTAATAGTGAAAAACTTACCTAGCTTCTGCTTAGGATCATGTGTTTATCTTTGTCGCAAATTAAGAATAACTATTAAGGAAAGTAAGCATATAATTGCATACATTGCATTTTACTTCTATACCGAAGAATCAGCATCACACTACACTTCCTCCTATATTTGATGCAAGCATGGTAATAATTGGTATTCCAGTCACCATCAATGAATCTACAGATGGCAGCCTTTTGTTTGAGAAAACTCTTAAGCCAAGTAGTAGCACTAAGGACCTTCTGATTAGCTGCAAAGATAGAGGCTTCATCCACATTGTTAGAATTTTCTAGTTGGATCAGGTCTTGCTCAGCCTAATCCACTAACTTATAGACATCTCCAAAAGTGTCCCAGTTCCAATGCCTAAGCATTTTGTTGATCCTCTTCTACAGGAACCACAGTTTGACTAGAGGATTAGGATGAGAGACATCTTTCCAATTTGCTAATATGATATGAAGAAAATCTGGATGAGTTGACCACATGTTGAAATATCTGAAGGATTAGGAACAGTACCAGAGAAAGCATTAATTGAAAGTAACAAGGTTCATGGTATATATATATATAATATCTTCC